GTGCCTTGAATAATATCGGCTTTTTTCATTCATGTTATGGGTATTTTTATACAAAGGAAATTTTTTTGTGACTGTTGAACATTAAAGTTTACTGACATAGCCATAAAAAAATGTTGCTTTATTTATCTGACCGTATTGGAATGTATTTGTTAGGTTTTCAGTCAATTAAATTTGGTTCAATAAACAATATGTGGTTATTTTTAAAATTTTCAATGAACATTCGATCAGTCCGGCCCTCGGCTTGCAGCAAAAATTTTTATCTGGCCCTCCGTCCATTTGACTTTGACACCCCTGCCCTAAGGGAATACATACAATTTATTTATATAGAGCCTTCACAACCGCTGCAGCTGTAACAATGAGAACTGGTCACAAAGACGGACATGAAACATATACAGTAAATACAAATGGCATTACAAAACAACAAATGAAAGACAAAAGTTCTGAACAAAATTGACTCAACAAAGAGGCACACAAACGTCCTGGGCTCACATGTACAAGGGGCTAAATATCAGTCTTGCTTGTCTCCTTCCTTCGTTTAGTCAGTAGTTAACTATGCTTTTGGTATTATCTTTATTTCATATTGGCTGTGCAGAGCTCACAAAGTAGTTGTCTGTCTGAGTGTGTGTTGGCAAATGCACATGTCAATTAGTGTCGGGCAGAACACTTTTCGGTTACAATTGGTTCATGTTTATAATCACCACTAGATGGGATCAGAACACTAACAGGGAAACAACTCAATGGGGAATATCAAGAGATTGACAGCCTCTTTATATTAAGCGTATCGGATTATAGGGCGGCTTTTGAGAAAATTGAATACTTTTCGGTGTGCCTTATAGTGCGGAAAATACGGTATTTCCCTAAACACTGTGCCACGAGATGTTTTTTTGCTGCACGTCACGGATGCGAGGCTTTCACAATAGTCGCATTTGTTTTTGTAATGTGAATGAATACAAAAAAAAAATAAGATCAGCAGTGTGAACCCAAATAGTGGGTGCTAAATTTGCCGTTCAGCACATCTAATACAGCGGTCCCCAACCTTTATTGCACCACAGACTGATTTCACATGAAGACATCCAGTAATTTGACTGACACACAGGGAAACAAAACCAAAAATAGAAAGCTTTTCTCTTCAAACTAGTGCCATGACATCCAAGTAGTTTCCCACAAGGACTTGAGGCATTCTGCTTTTGTAATTAAGTTGACCAACCCAAATTAAGGCAGATAGTGCCAAATACAACTGTGGCAAATTGGGTAGGTAGAGTGAAGTGGAAAAGGGGCTTTACACGTACTGAAAATAAAACACTTAGAGAGCACTTACATCCAGTTTAAGCATCTGTCCAATAATGATCTCGAGCACGTCTCGTCGAATGGTTGGTAGGTACGAAGTCACAGTCAGAAGGTTGTGGACGTAACACTCCTGCAGAGAGAAAAAATAAGAATAATTTGCCACACGGACTTAGGCTTTGGAAGTGAAGGTTAGCTGTTGAAGGAGAAAATGACTTCAATGATCTCTGCAAACTGTTCCGAAAAGATAATCGGTTTATGAGCATACTGTCATACATAAATGTACACTGTGATCTCTACGTTACCAAATACAAAAAGAGGAATAAATTCTGTGTCGTAGGGCCAGAAATGGTTATGGTAGGGGGAGGGAGGGTTAGGCTGATGCCAATACTGTATTTTGCAGAGAATGCTGGTAACCGTTTAATCGTCGGTGTAATTTAAAATATAACTAATTAAAAAACACTTACTTTAACACAACAATGATATGAATTAAAGGCAGAACATTTGACTGTTTTATAATCCTGTGTCTGGAACTATTTAACTTTAAAACTTTTTTTTTGGCGGGGAGGGGGCTTAACAATTATAGGACTCTTTTTTAAATGTCCTTATTTTTGTCTTTTGTTGTAATGTGTTAATGTGTATAAAAATTAAAAATAAAATTAAGCGGCAAAAATCTGTCTATTTTTGCCCATTCTAAATGACCTACTAGCGGCGGCCGATTAAATCAGCCGAGCGGAAATATGCACTGTATTTTTCAGTCTCTTACCAGAGTTCTGGAGGACTTTTGAACGAAAGGAAAGCTGTCTTGCAAAATAGGCACCAAAAAGTGACTCGTTCTGAGAGAAGGAAGAGCAGAACATGAAGCACTAAACCAGAGGCAACGAGCTCGAAGCTTTCAACATGACAAAATGTGCTCAAACCTGAATGAATAACATACAGGCAAAAGAACGTACGAAATGACTTACGATGGGACATATCTGGTGATGAGCTGCAAAGCCTGATGGCACTGGCTGAAATTTCTGGGAAGATCTACAAAAGTTATTGTACAGCCAAGTGTCAATTCAGTCAGGAAAAAAAAAGCTTTTTGCAAAATCTCTACTATTGGTCTGTCCACATGAATGGGTGTTATTTTTACACAAAATATTGACCAATCGAAGGTGAAAATGTCTCAATCTCTTTGATAATGCAATGTTAATGGTTGAACAAGCATGCGATTTTGGGGGTCTCCTTCGAAATGACAACTTTGGAAGTACAGTACATGGTGTTGGCCCGACGGCAACAATATGTATGAAATATAATTAGTTTGAAAGAACCATCTTCCACTCCTCCGGTGTTTCTGCCTTTTTACTAAACTTATTGAAATGTGTGAATCTGCAAACAAGGATGAGTTAAATTTGGGGGAAAAAATACACTTTATTATCAAATTAATAAACAAGAGTAAAAGAGTACTAAAGCAATGGCACACACAATTTACGGCTTGCAGGGAAGCATAAAACTACAAATGTGAAAACAGAAATAGTGTCAATGTACATGTAATGTTTATAGCTATAGGGTACATGTTTTGGGATTTTTCACCAGCTTCATCATCTGGAGGTCCTTCACCCACCCCTTGGTTGACTGCACATGAGAGACTAACGAATAATAATTTTAAAGCGAAAATATGCCACGCACACAAAGGAAGCAGGAGGTCAGGATCACTGCTCCACTCTGTATTTGGAATTTTGTAGTGATCCAAACTATTTATAACTTGTATTTTTGCAAATAATCCGTCTCTAGTTTCGCAGTCTAGCGTGTCCTGATAAAATCTCACCAGTGTCTTGCATTTCAACATGTTTTTGACTCACAAAGAAATGTGACTAATACACAGCCTTGACAGTGAGCCTTTGACATTCGCTGTGGCTGCCAAAATGGTGAATGATGACACGATGCCCGAGCACCTTTCCGCAACACTGAGACCTGGGTGTGCTCTTTAACCAGAGATGAAAGTGGACTTTTCTGAAAATTCCGGAATAAATAAATAAATAAAGGTGTGTGTGTGTGTGTGTGTGTGTGTGTGTGTGTGTGTGTGTGTGTATATATATATATATACACACACACACACATACATACACACACGCACGCACGCACGCACACGCACTTGGCCGATCACGCATGAATTAGTTTACACAAAACGCAATTCAAATACTCGACATTCAATGATTAATCTTCCTTTTGTATTCACACGTGTACCCTTTGTGGCTTCCGTTCGGGCCGAAATTTCGAAATCTCCAAGATATGGCGAGGCCATGAGAATGCGAGGCAAGGGTATTACTGTTGTGGCGACGCCACTCAAGCTAAGCGAGCCTCAGCAGTTGATAGTCCGCTGCTCTCTGCTGTGCGTGGTTCAGCGCGAACATGTACGCAAGCGCGTCTTTTGATTTCAACCAATCAGCGTCGACGCAAATGACGTCACACACGACAACAGCTAAGCTAAGTTAGCCGAGACGACACTCGAAGTCGGACGGACACGATTTTCTGCCAATCTGTGTTTTTCCCTTTTGGCCAAATACATTTTTTACTACAACTGTCTTGTTGACGGCGTCTTTTATTCGTTCCACTGGGGTTTAGCAGGTGTGTTTATAAAGAGACGAAAATTGTTTGGGGACTATCCCCCACGTTCTAGTTGAGATGGTATAACCCAAGAGGCAAAATGACGCTCGCTACTGTTGTTGCGAGTTGCCATTCGTTCTACTAAACCATTAGTCAAACGCCATCATGTCTTCTGTCGCTATTACACAAACAAAAATCTCTTTACCGTTACTAGTGTTAGTGCCTCAATATGGCTACGCTCATGAAAGCAATACAACGAACTCAAACGCGTCTTCGTTCAATGTTGTCAACTAATATCCGGATTAATTTTATTATTTATTTTATTTTCCTCAATTCTCCGGAGAAATTTTCATAAAAATTTAAAAAACCCGGAATTCCGGGAAAATCCGGAGGACTTTCATCTCTGTTTAACGGTCATTTCTCATGCCCTGCTGTGTTGAAAGCAATTGGCGCTATCGAACAAGTAGTAGAGCTGTCCCAGACACTTGTTAGTCATCGAATTATCTGATTGCAGCACGTTGTGTCCCAATCCCCAATTTTGCGAGATCTACAAAAGCGGCTTCCATTGTCTAAAATAATAATAATAGTAATAATGTCATAAGCCTAAACATAAATAAATTTCATTGAAAAGTATCATAAAGGACACATACTTTCATCGTCATCATCTGAATCTGAGATCTCGACTCCTCCTTCACAGATCGCAACTTTTTCTGGAAATAAACACGTACAGATTATTCCTCAAGACACAGTGGTGTTAGACGAAATAAACTAGCGTGACAAGGTAGAAACCTACTCGGTGTAAAGTGGGAGATGACCATTTTGAGACATGCACATAGGAAGACCGTCTGTGCCGACACCAGATTACTGAGGAAAGCCATGTACTCCTCCACCACTGCTTGGCTCCGACCCACCCAGGGAACCCTCTGCAAAATCCACACCAACAGGACAAGTTTCAACATAATTTCAATACTGTATTAGGTCAATGAGAATTAAATGAATACAGTTGCGCAATTAAGATATCCTTTATTTGTTCCACAATGGGGAAATTTACAGTCCACAGCAGCAAGATAATGGGTAGAAAGAAGAAAGAAGAAAAGAAAACAAACACCGTTCAATTAAGTGCAATATAAATACAGATATGGATAAGGTCGCAGTGCTATTTACAATTGTCTTCCACATCATTTTATTTTTTATTCAGCAGCCTGACAGCAGTCGGTAGGAACGAGCGGCGGTATCTCTCCTTCTTGCAGCGCGGGTGTAAGGGTCTCTGGCTGAAGGAGCTACCTAGTGCTGTCAGGGCAGGCTGGAGGGGGTGGGAGGGACTGTCCATCATAGCTTTTAGCTTAGTTAGCATCCTCCTGTTGCCCACCTCCTCCAGAGTGTCTAGGGAGCAGCCCAGGACAGAACTGGCCTTCCTGACCAGTCACTCCAGCCTCTTTCTGTCCCGGGCCGAGATGCTGCCTGACCAGCAGACAATGCCATAATGGATGGCCGAGGCCACCACCGAGTTATAGAAAGTAAAAAACAATACTGACTAAGATAGTATAGATGAGTTGTTCATGGTCTTTGGTGAGCTGAGCGACACAATTCCGAAATTCTTGTAGCCATGTAATAATCTGTGCGTCCTATGAGGAGAGAGAACGTACACGAAGCTGTGACAAACTGCCATCATAACAATGACTACAGTGCTTCTTGAATACGCTTTACCTTTATCTCAGGGTCCGCCAGCTGATGCTTCAGCAGTTCATAGTCACTCAAGTCTCCCTTCACACAAATATAAAAATAGTTTCTCACGCACGGATTCCGACAGACAGAATCAGAATATCAGGACATAGAGGCATTTCAAAAGCCACACTGAGTTGAAACGTATCACTCACCCGTTTATACTTGGCTAAAGTTTCCACAACACTACCGCCAAATCTGACCGTCTTCAAAGGCGGAGAGTTCAGAAAATCCCGATCTTCTATCTCCATGCTTTCAAGATAAATGAAGGCTTAGCGATGCAGGGTTAGCTTCTCGAATGCGTATTTTACGGAGGCCGGAATAAATCATGACACGGTTTCGTGAATAACGTTAAAGCAAAAAACTGTTAATCTGCGAATAATCATATTTGTTGCCAATGGAAAGTATGTACTACATTCCGAAGGTAAACGTCTTGCATAAAAGTAAACAACCACATGGACAATTCCTCTCCACATCCGAGAGCTTCTTCTTCTGATACTATTAGCGTGTCCTAAAGCACAGCGCCGCCATTAGCGTCATCTGGTGGATTTGAAAGACATAGCACCAGTACAGAAATGTACCGTTAATGACTACTAAACAGTGGCGGACCCTGAGGGCCAGCAAGGCCTTCTCTGCTGGCCTAAACATTCTCAGAAAAATAAATTCACTTGAATGTATTTTATGGTATTTTATAATTTATGTTATTTTATTTTCATAAATATGTAAACAAAATTATTCTCTGTATTCTTTACATCATATTATTTCCACTTAGTTGAGTGGCTGTTATTTTAAATAACATTGAAAGCCACTGATAAATAACTTATTTACCATGGTAGAGTTTTTAACCAATCATATTTCAGCTAGCTTGCGTTGCCAGGTAAATATAACTTGCTCGGGCCTTCAGATTAAACAGAGCAGGCCCCTGTGCACTGTAAGTGAACGGGCACAGTCAGGTTTCAATAGCCAATCAGATCAC